AGGAAGGTGGGGAAATACCTTGTTGGTTTGGAGTAACAGGAGACTTGGATCATTACAGTCAATGTTTGTATAGCATTATAGCTACTGTAGGGGGAACGACAACTAGCATCAGGTTAACGTGGGTAAAAACCCATGTACATCATTTTCAGGTTAAACTCAAGAGGATGGGGGGAAAGCGAAGCTGGAGAGAAATGTTTTTTATTCTATCCCTTGCTTAAACCATGAGGAGATAGCTGAGAAGGCTGCCTCACTCTTGGGTCCAGGCCTCCCACTGCAGGAAATCATCTTTTGACACCTAACCTTTGAGGTAGTACTGCTTAGGGAATGCTTTGAGTGACAAACTGGTATTCAGCAAAGAGAAATCTGAAGCAAAACCCCCTGCAATTTTTCTAAGGCTGTTTTTCTCCATTTCAAGTCTGTGTAAAGCCTCTGATGGGAATAAAACTGCAGTAAGATGGGGGGGGGGAAGTATTTTTATTTGGACTTTCATCCTTGTGGAACTTAAAACACACACTGGGGTTTGTCCACTTCACTGGGGAATCTTGCAACTTGTGTAATGAATAATGAAAACAGAAGTGGGGACTCAGGGAGATGGGAAGCTTGTCCAGACCCAAATTTGCCTGGCTAATGAACTGGTTGAGAAGCAGCTCCTCAGAGCTTAAGGCACAACTTGGTTTGGCATGTCTTCTGTGCTGCTCTTCCTGTTGTAATGAGTGTAAGTGCTTGTGATTCAGCACTGCAGACAAATTTGAACAAACTGGTTTTATTTTACTTGGAGCTCTTCTACTAAATCAGCCAATGTACTTAAACAGTTCTGTTCTCATCAGTGCTACTGCTACAAAACCAGCCTTGCTGTCAGAAATGACCTGAATGAATAGAAAAAGTGTTAATAAGTGTTGCGGACTAAGATTTGTTAGAAATCTGTATGTTGCATTACATGCTAATATACTTAAATGCTCTTAAATAACAGTGAGGCACGTATCTTTACACAGAAGGCTCTTGTACATCAATGTGTAGCTTCATCTGCTAACATCCTCTGTTTTGAGGTGGTGCTGCCTGCAATTGGCAACTTTCTCAAGAGGTCTGGGCTACTGCTTCAGCATTTGCATTAGGCAGGCACAGCCACGCCTAATGCTGTCTTAGCAGCAGCTGGGTTTTCAGTACCTCTCGCATTACAGCAAATGGATACGAGGGACACTTTGGCTTACGCATCCAGTTTTACACAACTTAGTTCAAGTCTGATTAAAATCCAGCTCTTGAGACTGGTTGGATCCTCATTCTTCAATATTAAAAAGGGAGAGGGGTCACTAGAAACGTGGATTTGAGTCTCGCCGTACTGCAAAGATCTTAGAAATAGTATCCTTCAGCTTGCGTGACCCCCTTTGCAATTTCTCCTTGGCTCAACAAAGAGAAAGGAGTAAGGGGAATGATTTGCTGCCCATTGTTCCTCTCTTGCGTGTTCTTAAGGAGCTAATGTTCTTGCTGATCTTCTGCATAAGTGCTGGCTGTGCATTTTCAGGTTTTGCTGGAAAAGAGTGTACATCCACAGCAGAAATCCCTCAGTCTTGGGTTGATGCCGAATAGCACCACAGTAGGGGGACGCAGAGATCCCGCATGCCATGCTAACGGTCAGTCCTCATCCCTGTTGTGTAGTGGGATGACAAATACAGAGATGTCATCATAGGATGCCTCATGGCTGTCATCCAGCATCCACTGGTGGCCTCTCTTCTTTCCCCTTGCTCTGCATACCAAGCACTTGGCCAGTTCTGAGAATCTGTGGGTGCAAAAAATGTGGTTTGGTTTAATGTGGCACTATTCCTTAACAACACTGAGATGTGGCTTTGCATTGTCAGAATAGTAGACAACAGCTTTATAATTGTTTCTTTAGGATGGGGAAAGATTCAGAGGCAGTTTCCAGAGTCACAGAAAAGAGAGCTTGGTCATGCCAGAGCCGACCTAGAAGCAGAGTGATCTCAGCCTGCTTTTGGACTGACCAGGTTCTCTGGAAGGGAAAATGATGGCAAGGCTGGTACTACCTGTGAGGATCTGTCCTGTTTTCTGCAAGGAAGCTCCTGACTGTATGGGCCACCTCTTTGTTGCACAGAACATCCCAAAGGCCATCAGTTGCCATGATGAGCACATCGTCTTCCTTAATGTCATGCAGAGCAAAGTCAAATACATTCACCTGGAAAGCACAGGAGTAAATCAGTGGCAATTCCTGCAAGGTACTGGAGGGGTCAGGTAGATGACTTCCCCTGAGAGATGACTTAAAGTGGGACCAGGTTGCTTTGAATCTTTTACGTCCCCTTGCTGCTATGCTTCTAGATTCCTCTGTCTTGGGGATTCTCTGGGCAGCATGCAGAGAGATGGGGGACGGAAAAAGGACACAGCTAAGACCTGCCAGGTCTGTGAAAGGTGGGTGCTATAGAGGAGAAGCAGCCTGTTTAATTCCATCCTGCAATTCCCATGTGCTGTGACTGACCTTGGGAATGCAGGAGAGGAAAGGTTTGACTTCAATGTTGGTGTCGATGACTTTGAGGTGATGATCCCCCAGACCTCGAGAGACAGCCAGAGTCCCCAGCAAGCGAGCCTGTCCCCAGACAAAACAAAACAGTACTGAAACATAAGAATGTGGCACCTTTAAAGGCTGACATGTGGCTTGTCCTGACAGATCTATGTGTTGCCTTTACGACCCTTCTCCAAGCATCACCCAGAACGGCCCCTGGAGACTTCGGAGATGGAGGAGTGGTTAGAAGCGATGGCCTGATGGAGCATGGAGACAGCCTGCCTGCCAGAGGACGGCTCCTGGTGACCTGCGGTGTGCTCTGGAGTTAGTGTATGTATCCATGTACTCTGGGTAATGCTACAGACTTCAGGAAGCCCATGGTGGCACCTGCTCTTGATTTGGGGCGGTGATGAAGAAAACTGGCTTGCTTTGGGGTGGGAGGAAGGGGGTCCTTTCTCCTGGCAAAGGAGGTTCTGCACTGATTCCTTGCAAAGGGGTTTGCATGTGGGTTGTAGTGCTGGGGGAGGTGATGGGGCTTTCTGCTCGACCTGAGCAGGCAGACGCTGGATGTGTGCAGTCATTGCTTCGCCCTGCCTCCTCCTTCCCTCTCCAGGCTCCTTTTCTCAGCCTCTCCTCGAGGAAGAGGGTTTGTGGGAAAGGCGCTAGTTAGAGCTGGAGGAGACAGTCCAAAGTGGGATCTGAGGAAATGAGTTCTCATCTGAAATGAGTTCTTGCGTGCAAGGGGAGATGAGGAAAGGGCAGGCTGGCTCAGGGCTGCTGTCTGCTCCGCTAGCAGGTGCTCTGGAGGAGGTGCAACCTCTGCTCCAGAGGGCTCTGGTTTACACTAACCAGGCAGCATGGTGCTAGTGAAGGGAGCTGCTGTATCGGGGCTGTGGGACTGTGCTACGCTGGAGAGCCCCAGAGCACCAGGTGCTCTGCAGCCCCAGTCTGTCGTAGTGCCCTGGAGTGTGACCATCAGTGACAGGGATACTGAGGACCCCCAGCAGACTTGCCTCTGCCTTCCCAGTGTGTAAAGTATTAAGCTACCTGCTTCCCATGACCATGGACAAGAGGATACTTGAGGTCAGCTTTCTCCACCATCTTGTATCCCCTAGAACAGAGAATTCACCATTGATTTGGGATTTGTCTGACTTGAAGGTACAACCCAGCCAGAGCATTTTGACCCTTGTGGTGCCCCCATGCACAGGCAGCTGACTGAGGCAGGGATGAGGTGACTTGCTGAAGCAGATGCAGTGAAGATGACCCCTTGCTGAATGCCCAGGTGTTTTCCCCTCTCCCCTTCCTCCCCAGCTTGTACCTGCACTAGCCCCACCTCACAGGAGCCCAGAAGGACCATCTCAGCTGTTCCCTAACCGTCCTGCCAGGGCCCCAGTCCTTCAGTCGGTGGTGGGAGGCTGCTTACAGCATCCTTTCCTTGATCTGGCACAGCTTTGCACCATCAAGCCCGCTGCTCCCAGCAGTGGGGCATGCCCCTTCTCCCTTCACCTCCCTGTCACTATGAGCAGGTTAAGCTGCCCTGTGCCGCACCCTTATCCTCAGGCAGAAAGGACTCACCAGCCCTCCATGAAGTAATCCCGGTACAGGACTTTCTGGCCCACATCATCTCCCTTCAACCTCCGTGGAAACTCAAAGCGCGTGAACTCGCCATCCAGGAGCTTGGGGAAAAGAAAAGCCTGGAGGAACAAGCAAAGGCGTGAGGATGGACAGGTTCTGCTTCAGCGGAGTAGGGCACCAAAACTGCTTCTGCTTCGGGACTGGCACTCCCAGAAGCAGAACAGAGAACGGAACTGGGAAAGTACATCCCAAGGAAGACATGAGCGTCTCCCATACTAAAGGCTGTTGGTTGAATCTTGCCCCCAGTCCTCTGTGGCTGGTGCCAGAGGACATTCTGGCCACACAGTGGCCTTCGATGAAAGCTGGTGGTCCTCTGGCCACAAGCCCTCTCTCACCCAGTGGGATGCCCACAGCTGGATTGTCTGATGCGCAGGAGGAGTCACTCACCAAGTGCTGGATTCGCTGCCTCTCTGTCTCGGGTGTGAACTCGCAGCTCATGGGCACAATGTTGTCCTTCAGAACAAGAATCGCCCTATGAGAGCGAAAAGGCAAAGAGCTGAGCTGTGTCCGTCACTGCAGCCCTCCTCTTACCAAGGCTAGCCCCAGGGTCAGCCAGGTGTGGGACTGCGGGTAACCAGTGGCAGAGCAAATCCACAGAACAGCTCTGCACCCAGGAACATTTAAAAATGCCGGTGTATTTTAAATAACTCCATTGCAATTGCACTGTTGCAGCAGAGAACTGAGCCTGCCTGGTTTGACGATGGCAGAGCTCACTGCTAGAGGAACAGTGGGTCAAGGCCAGATGAGGAAGCTCTTTAGGATGCTTTGAAATCACCTTCTGCTTTTAAGCACCTTCCAGGCTAAGCTTACTGCTGCACTACCATCCCAACACTGCCCTGTGGCTGGGTAGCATTAGTCCCTTGAAATCCCCAAACCCTTCCAGGAGGCATGAGAGCATCCATCCATCCAACAGCTCCTGTGGCAGGCAGGCAGGAAGAAAATGAATGGGCTGTACATTTACCTTCCACAGGCTTAAATAAGATGCTGGAAACATTGCTTATCTCCCAGCTCTCATCCCCCAGCAACTTCCACCTTTTATTGTGGCTCACCTGCTGTCCCCAGCGTTAGCCACATACAGCTTTCCCTGGAAATAAAGGGCAGCCAGAGCAGTGCAGCCTCCTGTCTGGTTTGTAGCTTCCATCTCCTGGCCGATGACTTCATCCTGTTGGTTTAAACAAGTCTGGAGAGTGACGTGAGCTGGGCTGCTGCTTTCTGCAGCTGCCTTGTGCCTCACAGTAGAAATACAGAGCCAAAACTGATCGCAGACAAGCCATGGGAAACCAGCAAGGCAAAAGACAACGTTGCTTTGGTACAGCCAACAAAGCTGTTGCTACTGGACTAAGGACCACTTTAGGAGCATGATGGGAGATCTCAAACCTGTAGGTGCTGTACAAGTCTGACAAAAGCCACTGTCTAGCCCTAAAGAAACGTATTCCCTGGGTGCGGTTTAGCAGAGATGCTGTAGCTTTGCTCTGGGTCAGCACTGCTGGCAGATCTGAGGCAGATCTTGGAGAGCTGACCCAGTGTGATCTGAGCACGCTTAAAGGTATGGCCAAATGTTCCTGCCTGCTCGACGAGCTGCAGAACTGCAGACCTTGCCCATCCCAGACAGCGGGGAGGGACAGACTGACTGCTTGGGGTAGCAGGACTGGTGCCCTGCACTGGGCACTCACGCATTCCTGGAAGGCATTCTCCAGGGCTCCCACCACCAGGTCTTCGGCATGGATGTGCTTCTCCTCCACGAACTGGGGGTCGCTGTCACAAACGCAGCGTCCGCTCAGATGCATGGGGGGACGGGCCTCTGTGACGCCTCCCACAACCTCCTCCAGCTTCTGCTTGATGCAGTAGTGCAAATAGTTGGAGGCAATGATGGCAGCTTGTGGGCCACCGTGGCCATCAAACAGTGCCCAGTAGTAACCAGTCAGAAACTGCAGTGGGGAAAAGGAACAAGACAACAAAGGGGAGCTTCAGACAGGGGGAAGGCAGGGGTTAGAGACAGGCTGTACACACAGCAGGCTCACAGCCAGGATGTTGCTGTACGTGTTTTGCCTGGCTCTTCCACCCCAGCTACCCTTCCCTGCTGCCAGTTAATCCCCTGCGCAGCTCAAACTCATGTGATGCCCATGTGCTGCTCTGCCAGACCCATCATCTAAGCTCTGAGCGGCTGGATTCGCAGCCATCCACCCTCACGCGCTGTTTCTCTGTGGTTTAGGGCAGATGGGGCTACTCCATTTTACAAGAGACAGGGCAGAGTGGCTCCCAGGTGAGAGCATCCCATGTGCCTGGTTCACGCTGCTGTCCCTGAGCGATGACAACACATACCAGCCCTTGAAAGCAGAGCAAGGACAGTAAAGGAAAGGTGAGGGCACCAAGTAAACGACCTCAGATGCTGCAAGGCATGGGCCATGGAAGTAGAAATGGCATGTACAGGCAGAACTGGGCATTTGCTAGCCAGACACAGGGTACATGGGTCCCCTAAATGCGTCCAAAGAAGGGTTTCAGTGCATGGGCATGTATGACTGATGAGGCAACCCCGTGTTTCCTGTACCTGGGCCCTTGGGTGCAGACCAGGGCTGGCAGCAGGGTGAGCACAGCCTGCCTGGGGGCTATACCTGCATAGAGCACAGGATCAGCCATTCCTCGTCCTCCTCCAGGCCCGGCTCTCTCCTCCGGATGGAGATCTGACAGCAGGCTGCCTGGTCCTCGTTGAATTCTGACTTGTCAGCATTGATAACCCTGGGGGTGCAAACGCTCCAGGTAAGACGTGCAGATGCACTGCACCTTGCCTGCTGCCAGCCAGTTGTGTTGGGTGCTTGGCAGCCACAGTGAACAGCTGCACCTTGCCCTGTCCTTCCAGCCCTGTGCTCCCTGCTCCCTTTTCAAACTCGAGGATCTCTTTGCTGGGGACCTAAATAACAAGTCCTTTATATGCAGCAGGGAAAAAGCTTGGCCAGGGACACAGGGACAAGTGGTTTTGAAGCACCCTGGCCTCAGGCAGCCTTTGTCAGCAGCCCACACTGTGCTATTTCCTTGGTGACACAGTGAATTGCAAAACCACCATCATTGTTTTTCCTTTCCAGCCTTGCTAATGTTTGTCCCTGGATGGGAGTTTCCTCTCCTTGTACAGCTCAGAGATTTCTGAAATTCTGGTCTCCCTCCCTTTGTTTTTAAGGCGCTTTGCTAGGAGTAAAGGGATGGACGCCCAGTGCCACTAGTCCCAAAAATCACCCCCTGCCCCAAACATCCTCCCTGCTCCCCCATCCCTTCCCCCTGCAACGGAGGGTTTTCTGCCCAACACAGCAGCCCCACGGAAGAGCCCTGCCTGACCAGCTCCCTGCAAACAGGGCGCAGAACAGGAGCCAGGTGACATCCCAGCGGTAAAATCACAGCGTAAGCATCCTTGCACTAGGGGATGAGCTGACCTGATGTTGCTTTCAGGCCTGCCCCTGCCACCTGTCACAAGCAATGGTGACCTGCTCTGTGACTGGCAGGGTGCAGACAGCTAAATGCAGGCAGGGAGGTGGGCAGGCGTGTCCCACGCTGCTGCTAGCCACCGATGGGGACGGAGAAGGGCTGAGGAAAACATGCCACCACGTCAAACCTCGCACTGCTGCTGTGTCTGGAGAAGGAAGCTGCTCCCCTCCTTGCAGGCAGACGCAGGCAGGAGGGGCGATTTCTGCCTGCGAGCTGTCCCTCTCCAGGGGAAGGCTGAAGCTCCGTGCTTGGGCCGGGGCTGCAGCC